ACTAAGTGCTTACTGCAGCCTACTGACCACCACACTAGCTTTGAGACAATTCTGTCACAATAAACCTCTCACCACTGGCTGTGATCAATAAAAATATAAAAACAATATTTGGTAGGGCTGAGCAGGACAACTAGTTGATTATAAATGTAGAAATTAAGAAGAAAAAAAGTACTTTAGTTTGAAATGATAACATATTATTCAGTAATATTTTTTAAATATATTAAATTGCAAAATCTAAAATTGACTATATACATATTACACACTAGAGGCAATGTCAAGGTTTCCTACAATTTATTTTCATTAAGTTGAGTGGGATTGGGAGAAGTGGCAATTACAAATAAAAAGAGTTGACGAAAATATAATACTATGATTTGATTTAGTTACAAAAGATAGGTAAATATAAAAAAAGTATATCATTTTTATCGGGGCACCTAATATCTGACATGACATTTTAAACATAGCGTGGCTGTAACAATACCGATACAATTATGCGGATGTGTAAGTACTTTACGTATTGTGTATGAACAAAATAGAAAATTATTATTTAATTAGAAATCCATAAAAAATTGTCCCTTTATATTCGAGATTTAAAAATGTAAAGTAATTTTTCTACCTACAGCAAAGAAAAAAAAATTTCAGGAAAATCACTTAAATTGTTGAGTGTTTAAAAGTACTTAAAAACAACAGTCGAAAGAATCGTAAATAAGTTATTTATAGATACATTTTTAAAACAATTTTAAAAATTAAAAAAAAAAGAATAGATAAGTGTTTGCCTTTGAGTTTTTAAATAATATTGATCGGTACAACAAATTGTGATATAGTTGAAATATACTGGTTTCTGATGCAGTAAAATAACATACATAATTTAAAAACACTGTTTACCAAAACGTAATGGAAGATATTGTTATAAGTATGTATATTAGCACAAACGATATTCAATATGAAAGAATATACAATATACTACAGTTTGAGAAACAAAATGTATCATACACATATTTTAACTATTCATTAGTTATATTAATTCATATTAATAACTTATTTTTTTTTAAGAAAAATGTATGGGTACTCTTCCATTAAAATATCTAATGTTCGGTATCGGTATGGAAAGAAAATTGTTTACGAATAAGTTGATGAATTTTGTCAACATTTCAACTTTAAAATAAATATAAAAATTAATCTTGCTAATGAATATTTAATATTTTTGAACTTCCATTAAAGAAGCTAATAAGCCATTAAGTTTTCAAGCTTTTTTAACTAAATGAAAAAGTTTTTATCCACAATAGTTTTAAAAAAATTTACAACATTCGAAAAATGTCTCAAGGCTATAAATAGCTCAAACGTTTTGAAAACATTACCATATACAGAAATAGGTAAAATAAATATTTGGTGAACATTTCAAGTATCAATGATTATTAGTTTTTGAATTACACTAAAAAAAATCGATTTTTTCAAAAATGGGTTTTGTAAGAAAAAAATATTTTATTTTATTTTTCTTATAAAAATTACAATTTTTCTTCATTTTTAGTTTGTTTTTTAAGGTGGCATTCAAAAACTACTTGAAGTTTTTACTCTCATAAGTACTAACTAGGTTCACTTTCATATTAGAAAATATGCTGATGTAGAATATCCGTTCATTTTTACTATCCCAAATGTTTATGATTCACTAGGTACCCTCAGAATCTAAAAGTGTATAATATATTTTGTCTACATACGTAACTGGTTTATAATAATATTCTAAAATTATACTTAAATTTGATAATTGTAAATAAATGTTGACACAAAATATGTTAACTTATATGTTAGTGTACTTGTATGAATTCGATAATTATCTGATATGCATCCCAATTTGTTCAATATAATATTAAATTAATATAGATTATTATTCTAGAATCTAGATTACACTCACATGATAAATACGTACATACAATTTTTTATTTTTTTTTTACTTAGAACTTTCAGTAAAAACGATTGCAGTTCGACAATTAAAATATAAGCACTTTAAGTGTTAGTTAAAGTAATTAAGAGTAATGGAGTAATAATAATAAAAGTGATAATAAACACAGATAAGAAAGAAACGTAATTAATGTATATTGTATATACCTAATAACAAAAATAATTATTAGTTTATGTCTTGATTATTTGTTTATTAATACGGTAGATAGAAATTAGTTAATAATGGAAGTTTAAGTCGAAGAGGAACTTTGAAAAAGCTAAATTTCGATTTGAATTTTGTGGATTAATGTAGAGCAGAGTCATATGACGGGAAAAATTGAGGAGTGCTGTTTAGGAGGGCCTCCGGGGAGAGGTTTTTTGCCTGCGAGGTAGTTTTTTGATGTATGAGTATAAATTTATATTTATAATTATATATTATAATATATTGAATTAATTAAAATCCTTATGACCAAAACCTCCCACATACATAGCCACGCATTTTATTTTTTGCTTTACTAATCGAGTTACAACTGTTCTAACTCAAATTATTGAGCGTATACGGTATACTTATTGATAGAGTTAGGATGTTGATGACTTGCATTTTTTTTCCTTTTATTCTGTACAATGCTATCCTAGCTAAAAATTTGTTTTATGCTCCTTTGATGCAGAATATTCTAATTTTATTTTGCATTTTTTTGCATTTTTTGCATTTTCAGCTATAAATGCATTTTTTTTTGTTTTTTAACGTCATTTTTCAACATTTTTAAGTCATTTTTTCATCTTTTGGGGCATTTTTCACAAATTATAGATTTTAGGGCAAATGTTACGCCCAAGTTTGGAAACAAATTTAATTTATTTAAAATCTAATTTTGGATTTGGACTATTAGTAAAAAATAATTTTAATATTATTATTGTGGGGTTTTTGTTGTGATTACATTTATCGCGTTCCGATAAGATTTACTCTTTGAGTGTTATATATTGAATTATTTAAATGCTTAATATATTTATAATTCATATTTTAAATTACTTTTACACCCATTATTATACCCATATCTCTAATAAAAATTATTATTTATAAATAAGTTTTTTCACTTACTTAATTAGTATTTTAGATAATTTTTAAGGTCATTTTTTGAAGTTTTTAGAGCATTTTTGCACTTTTTTAGGATTTTTTTGCATTTTTTTTAGGGCATTTTTGTTTGTTTTTTAGGTCATCAACATCCTAACTCTACTTATTAATAAATAAATTCAAATAGAGAAGCAAGTTGTGTATACCCCTACCATTACTCTTATCATTATTCTCATATTATTACTACTTATTCTGAATATATAGTGCTGCGGATTATGTTAATATATTATATTAATAGGTACACTTATACTCTTAAGTATAACTTACTTACTAGTGTACCTTAATATAATATTAGTGATGATAGGGATACACACACTTGTGTTTCTTTATGAATTTATTTTCAATCTATATGAATTTATTTATTAACAAGTATACACTATACGCCCAATAATTTGACTCAGAACAGTTATAATTCAATTAGTATAAACAAAAATTAAAACTAAAACAACAGAATAATATGTGCTTGTACATAAATATTGAACATTTAAATGATTTAATAAGTACCGTTAAAATAAAATAAATGATCTTAACCCGGTTAAGTTATTATAGAAAAAATTAAAATTATTTATTGAGCAACCTGAAATTAATATTTTGTTGGCTGGTGCAAATAGGCTATAATTTTGAAGATTAGTATATACCTAGGTTATAGAACGTTTTTGACACAGAAGTATTAGTTTGAGGGACGTTTAAGGGTATTTGGCTAAGTAACTCAGAAATCAGGACATATAAAATTAAAGAATTAAGTAAATTTGTTTCACTGATAACTTATTAGTGTTACCTAGGATTATTTTATGCACAATATTTGGGCGGGGCAAACTTTTATTTAAGTTTCACATACTTTTTTCCAACTATAGAAAAATTATTTCTGAGCCAAAAATATTTTTTCTAAATATTTATTTGATTAAGACATTTTCGACACTTAAAAGTTAAAAGTCCACAGTGGACTTACGTGCCGTGTGTATTTATGGTGTACGATGTATGATGTACATTGTTAAAATGTTCTCTCATTTATAAAGCTCTACTGCGTATTTGTGTTTATATCGATCGACAACTTCTGCTGCAGTACTGTATCTGATTGGTTGGTGTGCGTGTGACAGGTCGATTCGCGAACTGGAATATTCGCAACCGCCCTTTTATACCATCCGACTTGCGTACACACCGCAACCATTATATACCTATACATAATATATATTATACTAACGGGGAGTTTATTTTATGGTATGTGTCAAACGCATGACGTAGTAGGTGTACCTACTCTTAATACCCTCCCTCGAAAACAGGCTCTCCAGGTGAATAAATGATATCAAGCCGTTTGATATTTTTGAATTTTTTAAGAGCAATTTAATAGATTGTAGTCAATGATTTTGCAGTTGTGTATGCTCGTATGTTTATGCTTGTATACTTCCATTGAACATTTATCTGTAATCAATATATGCTATTGATCTTAGTGTTCATAAAATATGAAAATTAAATAAGGATTCGAAATCACAATATTAATGTATTACCTATGTGATAGTAATCATTATCATTATTTAAATTACTATATATAGTGATTGCACAATTTTCCTCCCCCCTCGTGGTCCGTATAGGAATGTTTATTTTTAAATAGTAAATAACAATAAAACAAAATGTGTTCATTAATGTATTATGTTTCTTAAAATTCCAATTAATTATGCTGTATAGATTGTTATATAACATTTATAATTAATAAATGAGTCATTTACTCATTTGTCTTTTTCTTCTTAGACAAGAAAACAGAAGTATTACGATTAAATATCGAATATTATTTAACATTATTTCAATAAAATTTGCATTTAATAATCTGAAAAAACGAATTTTAGAAAGTATTTCTTGTATGGGTATATGCAATTGTTTTTCTTCATCCCTTGTTTTAATTTGTTAATTATTTGGAAAAACTAGCTTTTTGTTCTACCATCTGACTATAAATTTAACACAGAGATTCAAAGAAATAACCTGCAGCAGTCAGGCTTTCAGATACAGACACGATTAATTCAGCGGAGGGATGGTCCGCCATTTTCCCGTGAAACGATTTGACTCCGCCCAAATGGGGTGAGCTCCAAGCGCAGAGGGACGAGCGGAGTTTTTAAATAGGTCTCCTCCGTTCACTGACGATCAGTTAGTCGCTGGACCTCGTTCGCCAAAACTGGGCAGATTTGCTTTTAAAAAATAAACAATCTCATTCGAAATTCTTCACTTGAAAATTATTTGGTTTTAATGTTTTCCCACACTGTGATTGATAAGACTTACCAATCAATTGTAATACTGTTGTTATTATGAACCATTCGATGGCACCGACACCGGACATGCACAATATTTACGGTTTTCACCATCATCACCATCAACAGCAACAGCACCAGCAACAATCACCCGATTTGCTCAGAAGTGGAGGTCACGTTGTGACCACTAAAGCCGATTCTTCATCCTCGTCACCATCAATCTGTTATAAGTAAGTCATTAAATATGATTACAGATTTCATTGTAAACTTATTTCATAATATTATATAAATGAATATCGGTCAACTTAAAAACGTCGAATTATTTAGCCGATTGTAAAAATTATGTTTTACACAAAAAAATGTAGAGATATAATATTTACCAGTATTAAATTGGATGTTTCTAGTAAAGTATTAATAAATAAATTATCAAATTTAGTACATTTTAAGTAGCGTAATTTAAATTAGCTCAGTAAAATTATGTTAGCTTATGTAGTAATATTAATCACTTAAGAAAACGAGTGTATTAAGTGCTGATGTTCCTTAGTTTTTTAATATTATGTCTTATAATATTATGGAGTAAAAATGTACCCAAATGTATGGAGTATATATAATAATTTATTTTCAACATCAGAGACTTATCAAGAATAATGATATAATACAAAATATAATATTAAATAGAAAAAAAAATTCAGTGAAGAAAAATAAAACAAATTACTGCGTATAACTAATTGTCAACAAGCAATAGTTATTAGCAAACAATGATAACTTAAAAAGTAGAATCAATATTATAATATTATTATAAAAATTAATTGATATAAATAAAACAATGTTCAATATGTGATGAAAATTAATTTATAATATTAAAAATAAGTTCGGATTATATTGAAGATTAAATAATAATATTATATGTTACATTATAATATTAATTTTTATACTTCCGGTAAAATATAATCTTATATACTCGGTACTACTCCTATGTAAAACAGTGAAATCACTAATATAAAAGTTACACGGGATTAGCTCCTTCTTATTAGTTATGAGTCTCCTTAAATAGATGTCTGCAGCTTAATACATTTTAGACAGATGTTTAGTAAAAGAATTGACACAAACAAAATGGTGAAATACCTCAATAATTATATATTACTTATGACTTAATACATTTACATAGTGTATCTGCATCTTATTGGTACTACCGTAAAATGGGGCGAATAGAAACAATGTTCAACTTTAAAGTATTGTTACATTTTTTCTAATTGGGCTGTATATATAATATGATCGATACATCAAAATATTGGTCTCATCGAGCAATTTTAATATGTATATTCAAATCGCATTTATGTTTAACAAATTATTTCGTATTTTTTTTTAAGCGCTCTGTTTCTATTCCCGCGAAAGATGGTGTCAATAGAAACGTTTATGGTTTTTTGGTGTATTTTTCACTGTGATGCTATGATGTATTGATGTGATACAATGCTGATATTCGAAACATTGTAAATAATGGGTTGACTCTTCCCCGCGTTTTTTGGCACGCTTAATTACGCTCTAATTATTTTATATTATACGTTTTAAGGAAAATCTTTTATTGAACACTTGCTGTTAAGAAAAATTATAAAAACTCTTAAATTAGGTTTAAATATTATAGTAGTATGATTGACTTCAGTAAGGGTGACAAAGATAAACCTGCACAGAAGCGTGTAAATCTTAAGATAAGTACTATCTTGATTCTCAAATTAGATTTTTCAGACAGTGATTTACATTATTATATTTTAATTATTATTAAGTAGCGCCTAAAATCAATACTAAAATTACCAAATAAGTAGGTACACAATGTATTTCATGTAAATGTATTATATAGTGTTTCGAGATTTTTGATATAGCTAAGTATTGGATTTAGACATGGTTTGAAGATTTGACTTAAATTTTTTAGAAATATTCTACAATATGCCTATTTTTGATGACTATAACCAAATTAAAATCGACTATCGGTCTATAATCTATATACTTACGGACTACAGTCGTTAAGAACACCATGGTTATGAGTTATGAACATTCAACCATTATAATATTATATATAATTTATAATCGTTGAATATTTAAATACCTATTTAATAATAGGTTTGTTTGCTTTCGTTCTGTGGTGTACATTTGAAAAATGCAACAGCTCATATAATATTTCCTCTTTGTAATTTACCATTTAGTCTTTACCAACGGGATAGTTTTAGTTTACAGAATATACAGGATGCGACTTTAATCATTGTTGTCGTTTCCGATTTCAGTAAGACTTCGACTTTCACACAAGATTTCATGTTGGCCAACGACTCATGTCAAACACAACAGCAGCAAGACGACGACAGTTGCAGTGACGGAGAAGACTCAAGCCAACCCAGCTGCACTTACCGATCTGTCCACCATAGTTTCGTGGGGACGTCGATTAGACAAGGTAAATATTCATAAGCGATAGTTTTAATAAAGATAATTTTATTACAAAGATAATAATTACATTTTACTTAGAAAATATGGGTTATAATCGATCCTATGAAAATCGATGCAAATATAAATAGCAAAAAATAATTAGATAAATATTCAAACACGCTACAAATTGAGTTAAGTAACCGTTAATAGGCCTGACTACTTAAAATACATTCATGTGGGCGTCTAAGTAAACATTAGTTTTTCTGCCTCCCTTACCGCATCAAAATGTATTTTTTAATTATAATATAAAAACAGATCAAGAATTTCCCGGACCTAAATAAATAGGGATAGTCCTGACTGCAGAAAGTAGTTAAATTCAAGATACAATATACCTATGGTCTTTAACAATCGACGAATTATTTATTACAGGTCTCAATTGGTTTCAATTACTTGTAAACACACTACCATTGTTCACCCAATGTCATTTGTTGCCCTTTTGTTCAGTATCTTTATACTCGCATATTTGTATGTATTCAACGCTTCAACGTACCTACTTATACCTCATCATCAGTGACGTTTAATATAAAATTATGTTTAGAAGTAAGCCAGTATAAGCATGCTCGTGTTCGTATATACAATTATCTTTTGTTCTTCTATATCTATTGTCGTCCTCATATTGTTTTAGAAAAAAATGCATATATCATATATCTTATTGTTAAAAACCCTACTTACATAATATTATACATTCCATATTTTCGGCACTTTGATCGTCCATTTGGCGCAAGAGTATTGTTTTACAGCCCGTATATGATTTTTTGACTCCCTCTCATAATGAATTGGGCAATTTATGCAAAAAAAAAAAAAATTATATTTGGTAAATTTAACGCTGGTGTTGAGTGTTTATAGTTATCATTCATCGAATTTTTAAACTAGGTTTCACATCTAAAGGTACTCAATACGCTTTCGACGGAAATATCGACTGCATATTATGATATTAGTGCATGACCGATGTTTTTGTGTGTATGATACTATAAAATTATCGACACTATAATTATTATTATACTCATAAAACAAATGAAATAAAAACGAAACAAAAATCATAAATTAATATTTATAATTTCCTAATACGATGACAAAAAACTAATTAATTTCTATAAGTCAACGGTAGTATTTCTTGTATTGATGATCAAAACAAAATCAAGCCCAATACTTTCAAAATCTTGGTCATGGTCTTGGCCCCGCAGACTCAGTCTTGGTATTGGGAATTTACGGTAGTATTGATCTTGGTCTTATTCAAGACTTGTTATTTCCACAAAATTTATAAAAAAAATTAAATAACTAGCCGTGTATAGGTTTTTTGCTATGACTTCTAAAATGAAACTTAAGTCCAATATATGAGACTTAAAATACATTAATAATTTGAAAGTAAACATAATACAAGTTAAGCAATTTAGTTTTTATTTTACTCGTTGTACGTACTAGTGTACTACCAACAGACTACAATTTTACGGCAGTAATAACATCAGGGGCGGCTTTTTAGGTGAGACTTTAAAACTGCGTCGCCCCTTAAAAAAAGCGAGAGAAAATAAAATATAATGCGTTGAGTGCGGACAATCCGCTATTAAGCTCACGAAGTAGAATCACGGACTGTTTGTCTGTATGTGACTTAAACACTACACCAAAAATATATTTTCTCAATGAATTATGGACGGTACCTATTTATCGATTAGTGAGTGTCTCCAGGCATATGTTACTTTCAGTAATACGGTAATTACTTTGGCACGGTACTTTCGGTAACAACGGTTACTGTAATTACCGAATTCAATCGGATTTCAGTCGGATTCATAGCTACGTCATGTGTCGTGTCGTGCGAGGTCGTGGTAATTATGGTTATGACTGATAAATAAATATGGTTTAAAAGTTGAGCTTTAGTCAATTTTTGGTATACTCTGTTGCAACTCGGTTATTCCATGGTACCAATTGGCAATTGCCAAAAAAGTAATGTTTAATCACAATACGATTTGATCGACGCTACATCACACATGACGTACCTAGCCGTGAATCCGGTACACCGGTATACCAGTATTCTCAAATACCGAGAATACCAGATATCGATATAATTAAACGATTCAAACGAATTACCGGTAATTACCGGGGTATCGGAAATACTGCCAATCCTTAAAGGGTTTAAAAAATTTATAACAATACCATTGAGTACGTATATGTTATGCAATATAGTGTATTCGATGGTAACATAAACAAATATATTGTGATTGAGCTGGACAAGTCTTGAGTAATCTACTATTAATTTATTATACCAACAATACTTTTCATTCAATAATGTTATAGAAATGGGCATTCTAATATTCATAAGACAATAAATTGTAGTAAAATAAATAAAACGGGGGTTGTAAGTGTATAACATCAGTTGATACTTAATACGATAATATTAGGTATATAACAGGTAACTAATTGTTTAAGACTTGAAGTATAAAGAAATTGTAATTTTATCCACCATAACAATATTTTTGTTTATTTTAATTGTTTTTGCGATCAGGCTCCGACTTGTCGTCGGCTGGTTCGATGGGTCGACACAACATGGTGCCAGCGGACGGTTACTACGGTGCGGGTAGCGGTAACCACGGTAGTGGTAGCGCGGGCCATCATCATCACCACCATCACCATGGTCACCACCATCACCACAACGGCAACGGAAACGGTCATAATCATCATCATCATCATCATCACAATGCTCCGGCAGGAATGGCGGCCACGGCGATTGTGGATGCACAAAGCGCGGGCGGCGTCGGAGGTGGAGGCGGCGGGTACAGGGTGCAGAGGCAAGCGGCCAACATACGGGAACGTAGACGAATGTTGAGGTCAGACCTGGCGCCGACTCGGGCAGCGGATAGGCCCACGCCGGTCAAAATGTAAGACCCTGACACTACGCACGCTCGCGAAAATAAACGCTCGGGCGGGTCGCATCCGTACGCCGATCACAATATTATTATATAAGCGGACCCGATCGAGAAACGGGGAACTTTAAGCCGACACGCGCTTAAACAACTTTTTACGATTTTTAGAATGCGCTGCTCTCGGGTCACACACAGCGATAGGTATACATATTATATACGGTAGATACTAGATTGTAAGTAAGGTATGATATGATGTATTGATATCATAATGGAAACTAGAAAGTATAATATGAAGGTCAGAGCCAGAGATCCTCAAACTATATTTTCGTGTAACACATATTATGTGAACTACGAATTAGCCATGTACCACTATATAGAATCTATATAAATAATATAATTAAGTTTTAACGCAGCCACGGCCAGAATAATTATATTGCGGTCGTTTAAATATTGTTTGGGCGTTGGGCGATTGAATTAGGTACCATCCATTGCCATAATATTTGTATACAAACAAAGATTGATTTATTAATTTCCGGTACCATCGTGTCGTCCACTCGTCTTACATGTACCAGCAGTGGACTGCAGTGGTACGAGCTTAGAAAAGAGATACTCCATATGTGCAGTTTCAGACTGTGGTCTAAGAAAAGTGACGTAGCTTACATTATACCCCATACCAGTTTGGCCCAATTAATAATTCAAGTACATTTTACATTAAAAAATTAACTTGGATGCAATTCACACATTCCCGAATAATTAATATATTTTAATCTTATCGAACAACTAATAGTCACATCATAAATTATCGTTCCATAAATTTTAAACCATGGATGAAAACCGATGTTATATTTTTCCTGTCTGCAAGATTTTCCGTGTTATTAAATATTATAATCTAGGTATACACAAATTATTATGTTCACATTGTAAAAAAAATCATAATTCCTACAATTTGTACACCGCACCAATCTGGCCACTTTGTTCATATACAAGTGGGGTACCTAGTATTTTATACAACAATCGAACCGTTATCAGTATTAACCGATTTTTCAGTTTTGTTGAGACTCTACGTCATTTTATTATTTTAATGTCAAAATCAAATTTGAACATAGAGATCAATGCATATGCAAGTATGAAATTCACTTATTTTCATCGTAAAAGTGAATATTACTATATTATTATTATCAATAGGAATAGTTATAGGCGTACAGCCTATAGGATTAAAATCTCGTGGTCGATGACACATTTGGTGTTGCTCATTCGTTTTCGAACCGACTGACCCATTCGATATTGCATACGCACATCGCTTCGTCACACGATCTCGCGGGCGTGTATCTTGAATCATCGCCGTAGGGAAAAATGTCGCCAAAAAGACTAATTCTCAAGAACTCTATACTCACCTAGTAGGCGCCCTGTAATATCATTAAGCGCACGTCTGCAGGTGTCCGTCGTCATTTATTGTGCACCGACCGTCGCCATCGTGCATTGGTACATCGCAATATATTATTATAATGAATCGTTTGGTGTTTAGCAGCATCAACTCGGCGTTCGACGAGCTCCGCGGTCATGTGCCCACGTTCCCGTACGAGAAGCGACTCAGCAAGATCGACACACTCCGTCTGGCCATCGCTTACATTGCGCTGTTGCGCGAAGTTCTGTCGGCCGACTGCGACCCGCTAACGTACGTCCAGCGGTGTCTGAGCGGCGAGCGGACGCCCGAACGCGCCGAATGGAATACCAGCGGTCAGTACCTATATAATATTGTAATACATATAGGTATTTCCGTGGTTTTCATAACGCTCACAAACTCGTTTCGATATTAAATATTAAAATATGGCTGGTTAGTAGTCGCATAGACAAGCACTATTGTTTGTTTTTTTCGTCGATTTACCCATCATTTTAAAGTCGAAATAACTCGAACTAGAATTAGGTAATTGATTGTGTTTCATACTTTAAAGTTTCCAACTGTATATATAGTATGTTATAAGCTTGTATATCATAGCAGAACAAAAATAATCCTAATTAGCTATTTAAAGTTTTATTGTAATAAGTAGCTACCCTGCGTTACCTAATGTCCTAATATATATAATATGCGTGGATGATGAATTGTATTATTTTTGTTCACACAGATCTAACAGCCAGACTTTCGTGGATCAACTGGGAAAACTTGGGCGTGAATCCCAACAGGCGAGGCGTCTTGACATCTTATTCGATTCCTGACAACGTTAACAACTAAAATAAACGTGTAGAACGCTGGCGGGTTGGAACGCTTAAACCAGTTAAACCTGTCGCCTTTGTATATAATGTAATATGTATATTATTTTCGTTTTAGGGATTTTATTCATTGTTAATATTTTATTATATCGATAATTATATATTAGTTTTAATAGGGAAATGTGCAATAGGTACAATATATATTGCAGATGTCTAGATCCTTATTACTTACCTATACGTGGTTACGCATAATGAATATCTATAATGCACGAGTAGAATATTATCTACATCGTGATCTAATGATGTTTAAGGGTATTCGATATCGACCGTTAATAAAGAATTCAATGTTATAGGCAATAACCTGAAATCTGAATGACCTAAATGTGCGCATGAGTGTCGTAAAATAAATTGTCGAAAGTTCTAGCATGCACAATCACATGTGTGCAGTGTGCACTAACCTGCTGTAGTCAAGGAAAAATATCTTTCATTTAAATGTTCGTAGGTACTTATCAACTTTTTGAGGTCCTTACCGGTAAGACTAAGTATCAACACTACCAGCTGTAATAAGTAGCTCAGTCTTCAGATATTATAATGACCCTTTCAGAAAATCCATTTATGACCTAAAAACCCTAAATAATGCCCTATAAAAAGTTTAAAAATGCACTTAGACGTCTAAGGAGTTCGTTGTAAGCATAATGTGCAGGTACTCGAAACACATTTTTATTTTGGAAAGCATCTTGTCAAGCATTTCAGAACAAAGATGCAAATGCTTCGAAATCCGAATCAAGTGCTAAGAAATCTGAAAACCTATTCGTGATGGACTATGCAGAATGCAGTTTATCTACGTAGATACAAAATACGAATCATAGGTACTAGTTTTTTATTTAAATTTCTTAGGTATAATTAATATTTTTAAATTCTACAATTTTTACATTTTAAGATCAAATTTCACTACTCATATCGCGTAGACAAAATGTGAAATAGTGGATGATTAAGGAACTAAAATAAACTTATAATAAATCATAGCGAACTCAAATGGGTTTTTAGATTTCTAATCACACCACTAGTTTTGTTGGTACGATGGTACGAACTACGAATGTACAATGGACAAGATAGGTACGTTTTCGTAAAAAATTAAAAATGGTCGGTATGGAATTCCCTTACGTGTCAATACTTGACCAAAATAAAATTAACAACTATACATTGTGTAATTTTAAGTTTAAACTAAAATATTAAATTGAGTAGGTATGTACTTACAACTTGTTGTGTTATAACTTATAAGTTATAACATACCTAATGGATTAATAGTTCCTAAGTGCCAAAAAGGAAGTTAGTAAATTACCTATTAATTTTACATTAACATGTTTTAGTTTGTTTTGTGAAACGCTTTTTGATTGATTAAAAACGATAAAAAAATGTATAGTTTAGGTTACCTAATATCATATTAAATATGATTCCTTAATAAGAGTGTTAATCATTAGACAAAGTCTAACATATTGCATATGATTTCGATATTTTCAGCGAGAGAATTAATTTTTTCAGTATGAAAATAGTAAATACAGAGTAAGTAATATGACACTAAGTACAAACAACTGCAAGTATGATTGATTGGTTTAAATAATTTGAAATACATATTAAATTGAGTAGGTACCTACAATATTATTAAAACAAATAGCAACAAAATTATTTAAAATATCAAATCAAACTAACATAGACAATATTTAAAGACTAGGTACAATAATAGTAATGATAATAGTAAATATTGTACATCTATTAAGTACCCGGTTGGAATGTTTTTTGATCAATTGTAATTGAAGAGACGGCTGAAACACCACTGAAACTAGCATTTAAATATCATGTATAACCTAATATTTTTTGCCTTTTGTTATGATAATAATAAAGTTCAGTTTCTATGTCGTTAACTATTCAATTTATTTCAATGTTCTGGTTATTTTTTTTTCTTATACCTATCTAATCTTAAATATAAATTTTAAATTTTAATAATATCTACATAAAGCTGAATATTTAAATAATATATTTTCTATGTATACAAATGTCTGACTATAATGTCAACGGTTTGAATATTGTCGAAAATCCCAATTCACTATTCTTTGTTTTCTCTCTCAGACCCAAGTGCATCAAAGATAAAACACAGTTGCTTAAAATAATTTTTTTTATGATTTTTAAGTAATTTTAAAATTAAATCAACCGTTATAAAAACTGGAGGAAAATATTTTTAAAGGTTTGACATATCGTTTTATATTTTAATATTATTTTTTAAACTGGACTTAAAAAATTGTAAACTTAAATGGATATTAAATTGTTTTGAGACAGTATTTAAATAAACTGATACGTTATAGTCTCAAAAATAATATTCTCTGTAATGTTTGCAATAGATGATTTTACTTTAAAATTACTAAAAAATACAAAAAAAATGATTTTGTGTGAATGCTTTTTATCTGTGTAGCAGGTGGGCCTGATAAATGAAAACAAATATGAAATAATGAGCTAATATCCTTTAAGATGAAATATTATTTTAAAAAGTCATCCTTGACTACTGTGACTATACCTAACTTAAATAAGTTTTAGTATATACGAGCAAACATTCAACTTTAAAAAAAAATTTTACTCCGTGTTGGAAATCATAGTATTAGGATAAATGGATTTATGAGTAGATAGACAAATTACTAGTTGGACCATTCGAGACCACTGCTTTAAACAATATTAAACAAAGTTAATTCTTTCGGATAAGCGATTTAAAATAATATATAAATTAAATATCAAACATGATTTCATAATGTTATATTATATAACAATTAATTTTAATTACTATAATTTATACAATTTAATATATTATACTTGGAATTTTTAATATGGCTTAAGTTAAATTTTTTTTAATAAAATGGAATTTCTAACAAAAATAAAACATAAAAACAAAAAATGTTTAACACAATTCACAAATAATTACAAGAAACACGTATTAGTACATAAAATACAAGTCTTATATAATAATACAGTTAACGTTTGGTCCATGTCAATTACCACTGAGTGAATAAATAATTCATCACATAAAAAATACTATTCATTACCATACTGGTTAGTGGTTGGTCTTATACAAATATAAACATTAAAATATAAGCCAAATTTACGTGGTAGTGTCATCCAATTTCAAAAACATATTGAAATCTGAAAAAAAAAATATTGTCAGTTTTGTGTGTATAATTAATTCAATCGGTGTACTCATAGTCAAAACTTAAAAATAAAGCTGCTAATAATTTTTATTTTAAAATGATGATATTATTATTATTATTATAATCAATACATTATCAAAGTACATTGTATTATACAATAAACTATAAAGATTCTAAAATGACATTAAAAATTAGAACATTATTTATGCAATAACAGTCATTTATCAACTAGTGACTAAGTTAATTCTTAACCAAAATATTTCTGACAATGATAGTATCTTATAGTTTATATTATACTATATTCAGAATAAGTCTAGAAAAATGTATGACAAAAACGTGTCCGGTTTCCCGCAGATGTCATCTGATTTACCAGCGGCCTAATCACGACGAGTAACCGAAACTGTAGGCCAATCACAGCGGACCTAGCTGCAGGATTTTTTCCAGACTTATTCTGATTAGAGTATAGTCATTATAATATTACATTGCTTTGAAGTAGTTAACAAAATTAATTTATTGTTTATTAAAATAAAAAAATTATTATTACTGATTATTTAATAAAGTTAAATTATGATCATAAATAATTATTAAGATAGTGTAACAGTAACAGCTCCAAACGACACTAATATGGAATTTGGGCAATTATTTAAGAAAAACACTTATAGACTTTTGAAGTCCGTGATGAAAACTAATCAACTCAAATGTTTCGAATTCTTACAAAATATTAGTTATGGCAAAATTTACAAATAACTGTTTTCAGTACTACTTTTGTTAATTGCACAACATTACTTATATACTTTTTATTTCATAATTTGTGATCAGTAAAAAATTGTTTGTAGATTGTTATTTATTTTTTGTTATAAACATAGGTAACTTTCTATATGTTATGGACACAGAATTTGTGTGTTAACTGTACTGTATTATATAGTTTATATTTTACCACACCTAAAATTTTTGTATATGTTACGACTATAAAATAAAAAAAATTATGACAAAATCAAATTCATCTTTGGATGTCTTTCAGAAAAAAAAAATATAATCTTTTATAGGTAGGTCAGAACTGATGGAATATAGGAAAATGTTTTAATACTTGAAAAATAAATTATATTTTTTTTCATTCAGTTTAAAATGTATGAAAAAATGTAACCCAAAGTAACATTCAAACTGTTTTAAGCTTTAGTTAAATTTGTTTTATTTAGAATTAAATCAAAAATAAAACAACAAAAGCAGGGGCTAGGGTAATACAGTATATTTTTCTATGCATTTTATGATGTCATATTTAATTGTTTAAAGGGCATAGATACTTTGATATTTTTTGTGCATATTTGCATGCATTCTTTTTATAGTTTTTAAGGTCATAAACTTTCCCAATAACTAATATGTATCACATTTATATGATAAAACAAATAGAAATTTCTTACCAAATCCATTTAAAGAGTCTGTTATATTAAAACCATTTGATGCCATACTGTTTTGAAGTTTGCTTGTTTCCTCTTGAATAAACATTTTATCAGTAACTGTTAGCTCACAACCAAGATGTCTCAACGCAGTTAATACTTCAAGCTGTTAAATGTAAAATAAACCATAAATGAAACAATTACATTAATAAAATACATCTGTATAAATTAAACTAATCAACTAAACATTTATTTTTGGAAGAATATGGCTAACCTTTTGTCGATTTCCAATCTCCAAGCTCAATTTACCCAATTTCATATCTCTTTCAATTTGATTACGTTTGTCTTTGAGTGCATTTGGTTCATTCTTAGCAAACATTTTGATTATGGACGGTGTTTGAAATGCTTTTGTTATGGCTGCACTAGTTGCCTAGGCATAAGACATAAATATTATCCAGTTACTAACTTAATACTTTGATTTAAATTAACAATTTAACAAAATGTATTTTGTAATACTGAAATGAGTATTGTTATAATACAAATTACAATTAAATATAATACTAACCAAACGCATTATGCTCAAATTGTCATGTATAGTCATGTCACCAGCAGTAATTTTACTCAATCTATCATTAAATTCTTTTAGTTGTTCAACAGTATCTTCTTTTGATTCGTTATATTCATCGTCGGCCATATCACTTCTGTAACATGTTTTTAAACAAAAAAAAAAATCAACTACTGCTCTAAACAATATTCTTCTATTAGATATTTTGCAGGGATTGAAAACACATTTAAATACTTACAGTTGCAACAACAATAATATATAAATGGGTTAAAATCAATGTTTTGGAAACATATATATGATTGGACTAAAATATGGTAATGTACCAGACAACATTTAGATACATGGAAACAAGTCAGTGTTGTACAAGATACATAATAACTTTACCTGCACTCCTCTAAATCACTGAGTTGTTGGACTAAACGTTCCAATTGAGCTTCTAGATTTTCTCTTAACATTTCATTTTCGTCAGGCATTTCGATCAAGTTGTTAGACAAGGAATTCTATTGTAAAATTATAGGTGGGCGATTAGTTTTTTTGTATCCTTTAAGAATTATCAGTCGTTTTCACTTTTTACTCTTAAAATATATTATATGATCCCCCAGAGCAATTCGGCTTACATCACATAAGTGCATAACTAAAAACTGTGGAACCAACAGAATAAAACTTGTTGTTATCAGCTCCTCATATTCTGTACTCATAGAAGGGTAGGAGACACTGATAAGCATTAATCACTGAGATAGCTGATAATATTATCTTAGATCTGAGATCATATTTACTTACGAATTAAGATATTCTTAATTAGTGTAAATAATTTAAATAGGTATCTTAATTCGTGTATTTACCACATACTTAGATATATAATATAAAAAATATTTAAAAAAAAGAAGATACATCAATGTATACATCAATGAAGGCTAGAGCTGATGAGGAGGCCAAACTCTGCTGGCCGCCTCCAAAAAATCTTTTTATATCAATATCAACATCGCACAATAATTTCTCTACTAGATAGCGTGGCGGTCAAATCCGAGGTTGGCTCGGAGTATAATATAAACGTCTATAAATATTGAGTTATACCTAATATGTCGAATTGCTTTACTTGAACCTTGTAAGCACATATTAACATAGTAATATTCAACATATTATTAACATATTAACGTATTATTACATTTAATAATAACTAGGTACTCATAATAAATAATAGTTTAATTTTAATTTTAATACAAATAATAAATATATATTAATTAGTAGATAGTTTCTGTTTAAATTAGTTTCTGATTTTTATGTAAAAAATATTATGTAGAAATGAGTAAATAAAATACATTTTTTACAATTTTTATCGCATTTAAATCCTAGCCTTAATAAACTATTACTATCTACCAATTTAACTAAATTTTGTTCTATTTAATATTTTTCAATTTGTTTTCAAATAAAATAAAATATGTTTAGTGATTATTCGTGCAACCCAGCATAAGTTTTTTTAAATAATTTTATTATAATTTATATTATAAAAAAGTACCTACGTCCTACTTATCTATAATAAGCTAGGTATAAATGTAAGTAGGTATACTTTATTTTGTATTAGTTAATTGTTAGTCATAAGTTTATATTTTAGATTCTAAGCTGAGAGAATGTGTTTATTTTTATTTTTGAGTCTATGTACACGATAAGCGGAGAATCAAATAATGCTTTGATTTTTAACTTTAAATAGTGGTTTCTGGTAGAAAATTGGAACTAATTGAGACTGAAAACAGACAATTTTTGGTAGCTTTTGTTTTTTTAAGTTACAAAAAAAATTAACTTTAGACAAAATTGATGGTTTTTGTTGTAAATCAAAAATAAATAATCGTAGCGGATTCATTAGATTTTCATAAAATGTTTATTACTACATGCATCATACAATTTTAACTTTTTTTAAGCTATTACCTATATGTTTTTTTGAAACTGATGCAAGGCCGTAGCCAGAAAAATATTTAGGGGTGGAGTTAGAGTATAAATATGTTATATTATATAATAAAATATGAAAATATAAAAATATTATTTAAATTAAATTAATCTTTACTTAAAAAATAATTAAATTTTATATCAAAAAAATATAGGGGGGGGGGGTTGACCCCAAAAATTTACTTGGAAAATTTTTTAATATATTACCGTAAAAAAATGCCAAATGCTTAAAGTCAGCAGGTAACCTAAAATACACAAAAAAAAAACATCAGGCAAGACACCAAAAGCTTTATAGGGGATTGACACGGGATGGAGAGGGTGGGTTTGTACTCAATGGCTACTGGTCACCTTCATACGTCCACACGACCGGTCCGTTTTGAGCGCTGAATACTCGTATATTCTCCTGTTTTTTCGAACCTATCAGTAATCTATTATCTGCAGTCAGAACTTTGAAAAGGCATTATAATTTAGTGTGGTATTAATATTTCTGCATATTTAAGTATCATATTTTATGTGGTTTCGATAGTAGAAAAGAAGGTACTCGACTATGAGAGGTTTGGCACATTACTGGTTCTTCTCTGTTCAATCACAACTATTGTAATTCATGTATTGTAATTATATTAACAGAATCCAATCAGTGAATTGCATTTATAAAAAATTGAGTTATACATTTATGAAAATTTCGTACAACCCAAGGTACGTTATACCTTTGTAATTTATTTAAACGCACCTGGCACCTGACATCATAATATCGATTATTATAGGCATGCAATTAAGTACATACTTACAAATGTTTTAATTTTCATTTCAACGAAATATTAACACGAGTTATCGTATCTCTGCAGCCATTAATATTAAACAACATACAATTTAAAAACTGAAAAATTGTATTACGAATTATATTTATTCATTAAAATATTAAATAAATGATATGCATTATTACTACAGGAAAACGGGGCAATGGAGCAATGGAATATCGTCTCTAGAATATATAATATGGTTTATAAAAATTTTGTTGAAACCTTTTTGGAAAAATAATTTTAAAAATTTCACTAGAGAAGTTTTATCTAAAATTTAAAAGATCCGAATAAGGTATTGATAACTAAGTTCCTCATCCACTATTTTAAATTAAAATTCGCAATCCAACGAGAATCTAATGAACATATTTTTATCATAGTTCTCAGATTAAAATAAAATAATAAAACATACAAACTGTTTCTTATGAACATTTTTTTTTATTATTATCAATAAACACCGATCCATTTATATTATATCACAATTCCTACAGCCTAAATATAAGTTAACAATATTTATTAACACATGGATATTTTTTTAATATTTATAAAAAATAACATACAATATAATAATATATTACACTACTTATAGTAAAAATTACTTATTTGTATATGAGTATATGACACACCTAATTTCCGTTTATCGTAACGAAAAATGAAAAGTATAGTACGTAAAAACAGTGCTTAAACTTAATAATAGTATTATGATATTACCAAAGCTACAATGTAATAGCCAAATAATAAACCAACACAATAACTTTAAAATTAACGGAAATTAGTACAAAATAATATAATGTTTATAATTGAGATTTGCGTAAGACATGTGACTAGAAATAAAAACATTTCCATAATAATTTCTATAAGTAAAAAAGAAACAATATTATAAACAACAATTATACAATATTATTATGAACGTTGTGCAGTGATAATATCCGTAACATATAATAATAATACTATAACGACGACTGCAGACATGCGTTACATTTGATTTGATATTTTTTAGTATTTTTCAACAAATTTTAAATTCAAAATATAACATTTTAGGTTTAATAGTATAATGTTGCGAGAAAATAATATACAAGTTTCAAGTTAACATATTATATTTTTTTTACAAACAACGATAACGTCATAACGATATTATAATCGCTTACGTTTATCTATATATTACACTTCTGCGTGGCAAAAACTTTGTGAACATATTACGTATTCACGCATCGTTTTCACGCTAAGCGTCTGCGAGAAACGAACTTCCTTGTACGGGGGAGTCTCGTGTCGATCCGCACATCCCTATAAACAACCTGCTGCCAGTCGACGTGCGAGAAACTTAAAATTAACACCTATCTGTACAATCGAGTCGATTATAAAATATAATATTCATCGTATACCTATTATACTGTGTTGTAATAGATAGTACAATAAATTGGAGTAAAATAGTAAAAAAATAATAATTATTATTATTACATGTAATATATTTTATAGTTAGCAGTTTTCTCACAAAAGATTCGTACGCGAGGCCGTGTTCAGAGCAAATTATCTGAGGGGGTGGTGGGAATGAAATATTACTTTTTTTTTAAAAACTGATTATACATTTTAACATTAGATTTTAAAAAATGGGGGGGGGATGGGTTGGTTTAAACCCTCTCTCTCAAAGATACGGCATTGTTCATACTATAAAATAGTACGTGATGTAATATTGTCGATTATATCAGGTTTCGTTATCCTTACACAGCACGAGGTTCTAGAAATTTGGTCACGGACAGAAATTACAAACGTATGATATTAATTGTGTGTTGTGTGGGAATACGAGTGTGAGAAGTGACTCATTCAATCGACAAACGTGACGTTGAACACAGCCAACTCCATCGGGGCCACCTCCACTTGGTCGAGTCGGTCAACGGAGTCCATTGGATGCATACCGGTGACCGTGGTCCTGGCGATCTGCAGGCGGTCGAGCCCAGCGAACGCGGTGCCCGGGTCGAACACTCCCCTATCCCGCCTGAGCTGACAATCGGGTATCCGGTAGCCCTTGTCCACCCGACAGTCGAAGCCCTTCCGGTGCAGTACCATGAGCGCAGACGGTGACGGGAACTGCTGGAAAACCGGATCGGTGTTGGTCCGGAAGTTCATCAAGTGCACATCGCACGGCACCGGCCTGTCAATCATGGCAAGCCCGGGACGGAGGTGGTGTTCGGTGTCCGGCTCGACGACGAACACGTCGGCTGGGTACAGCAGGCTCTCGGACAGCTGATTGGCCACCAGGCTGGGGTTGGACACCCGGTCACCGCCCTTCGAGCCGCTTCCGTCGTCCGACACCGTTTCTAGCAGTATCCAGTACTTGGTGAGCGTCGGCTTGTTGTCCACCACCCCCTCGCCCATACCCCTAGAGTCGTCGTACAGCGTCCGTCGGTCCAGCATCAGCTCGATTCGACCCGGCTCCCATCCAGCGGCACCCTGAGCGTGGTTCACCAGCACGGTCAGCCTGTGCCGGTCGTCCTCGATGTACGCGGTCGTTGTGGCCGGATAGTAGTTGCCTTCGATGCCCACCCGCTTAACCGTCACCCGCTTCTGCATCTGAAACCCGTTGGAGTCTGTGTAAATGACTGCCGGTTCACCGTTGGCAATGCCAGACGACAGCCGCATGAATAGCTCCGTCTCTCGGTTCTTGGGTGGCTGCTTGAAGTCCACCACGTTCTCTACGTACAGGCCCTTGCTCTCCACACCCTTGCCGTGGTACAATCGCACCCTGTGGGTAACTATTCCGTAGACGACAGTGATCTCGGACGATATGGGCCCCGATGTTATGATCACTGTCGATGGGCCGGGGTAGTCGTCTAGCACCTTCTTCTCGGTGTCCCGCAGGTTCGGATCCGGCATGAACAGGTACGCTCCACTATGCAGCTGTGCCGCTTGGTAAGCGGCGAAGTCAATGTTCACGTACTGCGACACGCCCGTGCCCTTGTCAACGATCGAGCTCAATAGGCCCGTCTTTCCATCGAACAGCACCTGAATGTGATCGTTCTCCAGCTGCACGTCACCGAGCCTCATTGGGTTGACGGTGAACACAGAGTGCCCCGCACAGTTTTTGCAGTAGACCAGCGCCAGTCCTTCCGGGTTCGGCGCCTTTTGGATAGTGAACGTGGTCAGACTCAACGGTTCCAGCACGGCGACGAAAAGCAGTTCGAAGCACACCTTGGACATGGTCAACGGCTGCTCGGCAGTTTCGCTCAGGTTCCATACAGGGTTTATCTGGTGTCGGACGACTGACCCATCGCTGTCCACCACCCGGACGTTCGGTTCCGATACCAAAACCTTTATGGGCTCTGTTTTCCGGCGGCCGAGGGGGTTGAAGACGATCACGTTTCGGGGCCTAGACTTGTCGATGTTCAACGCCAGCCTGTACGTCGGCTGGTCATACGTCTGACGGTCACTGTCGGGCACTACAATTTTTGCAGATAGCGGCGCTCCCGAGTCCCCGGCCTTTGACAGCAGACACTGGACCGCGTAGCTTTGGATCGCTGCACAGTTTTGGATGCCCTCGAATAGTTTCAGTGCATAATCGTTCATCACGAAAGACTTGGACGTGCCCGTTATGGCGTCGTGGTGCTGGAATAGCGCCAAATTCTGTCTGGCCCTGGTCAGTTTCTCGTAGTTCCGCTCCAGCAGCCTGACTGTCTGGAGCTTCTTCCGCCGAGCGTCGTTAACGGCAAACGTGTATAAGATTTCCGTTGACCTGAGCTTGCTCTCCAGCTCTCGGTCCAGCACCTTCCAGTACGGCCGAGTCGTGTAGTATCCGCTCCAGTAGGCCGGTCGGCCCTCGGAGAACACGTCACTGTAGACGAAAAAGTCTCCACGCAAAGTGGGGAACTTTCCGTCGCTTCTCGCCCTCAGCGCCCGGAAGAAATCCGACGGCGTGCCGAAACCTACTTCCGCCCCGTGGTATCTCTCCTTGTTGGCGTTTATGTAGTCGAATAGCTTCATGTAGTTGGTGTACTGTTGGTCCCACTCGGTGTCGTGGTCGTACCGGAAGTCGTCTCCTAGTGGTATCAGAGCCACGTTGTACGGCGACACGGACGCCGTGCGGCCGTATTGGTCCATCAGCACGTCTGCCTTCTGCTTCACGTTCTGGTCGTCTATGAAAACCGCCAGTTCCGAGTAATCAGTGAACTCGCCGGGCACCTTTCGAAAGTCGTAATTGATGCACACCTGTGAAAACAACATAGTACACACACGTTAAATATTTTACAATAATAATATTATCGCATATCAGTAAAAATGATAAACCATAATATTGATAGGAATTCATCTCTTTTCCCATACCTGTGGATGAGGACCGCAAGAGCCTCTTATCGAGTATATGGAAAACGGCATATTGTGCACCAAAGTATCGGTGTGACCCGTTCGGTCCCAGTTCTGCCTCCACATGAAATCGCCGTTTTGCGTCCGTGCAAACCATTCCTTCCACGCGTAGTGCAAACGCTGGATGACCGTTCCGCCGGTGATCTCGGACTTCTTTAGCAGATACGGAACCGTTGGACCGTGTCCAAACGGGTCCACCGACCATCCGGTTTTGATGTTCACTCCGAGGTTGTTCTTCACCCATTGGTGACCTACACGGGCAAACGAAAAACATGGTAAATAATTGCTAATTGTTATTGTGGAAAATTAATAAAACTTTTGATACGAAATCGTAGAATTTAAGGGGGCAAATAAAACAAGTAGACGATGAATATTACAAAATTCCATCAAGTTTGTCGTGTTTTTGTTATTTTAATAGATTTATATTATTACACCATGACATTGTGTATTTACAATTAATTAATTATTACATCAAATAATACATACAATTTCATTCATCAGTGGACCGTTTTACCTATTCTACTTTTTTTTCATAAAACATTGTTGTTACGCATTTTTATTTTGTCTTTTTTTTTACATCTGAATGTTGAAAAAAATTAAATTTAATGACTAAAATGATAATCTTCTCTTTATACTCTATACAACTATTGATCTTTGTGTACAATACTACTATCTATACAGAAATTCCGTTTACAGATATCTGTTGTCCCAGAAAACAAACAAAATAATATTCTGACACCTATGATGGGGGAAAGTGTCACAACTCACAAACACAAATTATTTACATATAGATTGAAAGCACATCAAATACTATTTTTTTTAGAACTTCCATTCCCACGCTTGTTATTTGCTATCCAAAACTACAATTTGATTAGATAGTCATTATTGTTATTATTATGACTATGAGTGATTTATAAGCAAACAATGTTTCATTATAAGTTTATAATAAAAAACATTATTAATGAATAGGTATATGGAATTCAGAAGTTCTGGAAAACTATTAAATATAAAAAAAACTAAATCAATCTTTATCATTAATTAAAATATATGAAATTTATTATTACAATAAAAAATGGTTGTTAAAATATTATCATTCGTTTTGTGAGAAAATGTTCAAGCAGTCATGAATACAATTTTGTAACTACTTAAATGTGTACGATTTAACTTTTTTTTAAAGAACCTATCTGTAGATTTTCTTGAAAACAACATTTTGTAGTTAGGATTCTGGATTATTAGTTTTTTCATAATTTCACTTTCATACACACTATTCTGGTGTTAAAATTTTGTTGAGTTGAAAGATTCAGCTTATATAGAAATATTTAATTGTTTTAAAATTACAAACAAGTGCATAAGAAAATGTATTATTATTTTACCAAAAAATACATTTAATTATATGATATAATTCCTAGCACATTTTTATTTTAATATTTTATGTTTTATAAATGTATCCAAGTACAAAATGTAATGTATTTAAACTTTAGGCTTGTAATTTATATTTAGGGTAATTTTATAGGGTTATAGAATATAAAAAATGTTGTTTTCATTTCTAGTAGTTTTATACTTAAGAAATATTTTAAAGAACCAAATAATAATCTATAGTGATAGTTATTAGTACTTTTTTCTTAATATTATGATCTCATTATTATTGTTATTAGATAATACTTATTTAACGAATAAGAGTATGTCGATAAAATTCAATATTTAATGTTTAAATACGAATTATTAATATTTATATGTATCATTATATTAAAAATCATCAACCCTGCATGGTCGTCACATTATAATTTAGTCTTTGCGATGGTACCAGATTTATCACTATTAATAGAATTACCTGTTACTTTGATGGTTATAGTAAAGTCATGATACACATAAACACACACACACACACACACACACCATAATGATAATAATATGTAATCACACATCGACTCACACATCTTTCTTTAAAAAAAAAAATGATCAATTGAAAAAAAAAATGCATTTCAAAAGTAAGACGTATAAACGAATAACGCACCTCGGACAGTTTCGGGAGGGTTTATGACTCAATAATATAGTCAAACAAAACTCGTTAACAAAGTTCACGCACGTAATAACCTAGTTAAATACGCGCGTGGGGCAGTGCAGTTCGCCGTCGGTATAATAATATGTATATTGTATATGTGCGGGAAGTGCGGCACGGTGCAACTTTATTTTCGACCGTCGCGTGCCGGTCGCGAATTTCACCTTATTCAACACAATAATCGCATACGTATAATATAGTGTAGGTATAGTAAGTTGATCAACGATTTTCTTAAGGAGGGCTTCCGTGATTCGATAATGGATTACGGCCGCAGTTCCGGTCTTAATTAAGCACACACACGCACACGAACAATATATATAATGGGAGCGTTTCTCGCAATTATTCGGCGCCCTCGTCTTGCCGACCTGTACGCACTACACACGTACTATTAAACATAATAATAATATAATAGTGCTTTAACCGTGCTTTCAGACACCCCTTTTTTGCGTGTGCGTTCGTATATAACGTCGAACGCGACTCGACGTTTTTAACAAGCTCCGACTATTATTATCGCTCCGGAAGAGCTCTGGAGTGTCGGTATAGTATTGTGTGTGTGTGTGTGTGTGTGGGCGTGTGTGTGCGTGTGTGTGTCTACCTGCCTGCCGCGGAGGGTCCTAAAACGAAACGGCTGCAGTCGACGGCGTGTAACACGAATAACGCACGTAAATGTACGGTACTTGTAGCTCGCGTCCCGTTGAAGTACGCGCGTGTGTTTGAATGTGTAGGTATATTATATTATTATTATACTTTTGAAAGTGACGAGAACGATACACCACGTACACTGTACACAACACTGTATGCTATGGGTATATATGTATATATAATATATATATCGTCGCGGGAGACAAGTTTTGTCATTTGGTTTTCTATATACGTCGCGACTATCGACGATTCCGGAATGGACGCACGGGACTATCTCCAAGTATCCAACCTGACCGTCGGCCGATCGATAATTGATTGTACATGGTACCACAATACTCAGCCAGATATTAAACCTCAATATAAAGTACATGCAATGTGCCAGTTTACATATACTCTACATATATTATAGGGTGTAGAGGCTTGAAAATATTGCATATAAATGGGTGGGCTGGTACCTAATTACAATGTTTCACGAATCCCGTATAATTGCTAGGTATACTTATCAACGGCTGTCGGCCAGACTTAAGTGATCGTCCGATTTATTTTTTTTGGCTAACGTTTTGCTTGCCTCAACTTACTTCTTATTGTCTTAACACACCTATACACCAAATCACAACTCATCCTCAACTGAAAAACTATAATTTTTAACTAGTCATTGCATAATAATAAATAATAATACGCATTAGGGTTTTCTTGAAAATAACATATTTTTATAATAGGAATGAACGATAGATGTACAGAGTAATTCCGACACTTATTAATAACCCCTCCTTATTTTGAGCCACTTTGATCACAGCGTGTAGCATATTGCGAGTGAAGTGAAATTAATGATCTGGTTAATATACCTATACTACACTCATCAAGGAGGGTGGGTAGGTAAAAATAATTCTACATTTAAAAACTGTAACGTAAAAAAATGTACCGGGCACCATCACCTTTCATCAAGAAAAATATGAAATGTAGCCTTCTGGGTGCTGTATTATTAGGTGCTGTTATTAACACGCGTATAATGTTGGTACATAATATTATTACCACTGTAACCCGTACCGCGGTATAATATAAACGGGTTAAAACATTGCTATTGTACCACCTATCGTGGTGGAGAATTGACTGGATGATTTTTCTCTGTTAAAATCAATGTTTTATTCGAAGCAGCGATAACAGTGTAACAATATTATTATTATAATACATATTATATCATACGATATTGTTCATTGCTTAATATTATCGCAACGCTATGAGCTGATATAAAATTGTGATTCGTTCGTCCGGTCGTGATGATTTACTCTCAGGAACATCGCAAAGAGTCATCTATATACCGTGGAATAATATTTTGGGTTTCCATATAGGTACACAGACGCATGAGGCAGACGTATATTTTTCGTTGAACAGGACGCACCAGCGGCGATCCATCATACTATTATTATTATTATTATACTCGATTACTCGAACCGATTATCTTATACGCCACAAAGTCATAACTCTCTCTTTATCTATAATGCACCGTCTCTACACACGCGATGGGACCGCGTCCAAAATATATGAATAAATAATAATCCTCCGAGCAGCTGACAAATCGTACATCGAACTACATAATAATATTTTTTTTTTATATATACTTATCCGGAGAATCACGACGAGAGAGACGTTCTCGGAATCGCTACATTATAATAATAATAGTAATATGTATATATGTGTACACTATATATACCTATGGCGAGCGCATGGCCGGGAAAAGAAATTATTCCGCGACGGCTGTGGCGGTGTCGTCCTCTAGAGAAATCACTCGCGGCACAACTCGTGGACCGAATTAAACGACCGTGCACGACAGTGTTGTAGTTAAACACAATATAAAACCATCTCCGTTACTGATGAATAAAACGCGTAAACCAACTTCCGCGAGAGAGAGAGAGAGAGAGAGAGAGAGAGAGAGAGAGAGAGAGAGAGAGAGAGAGGAGTGAGAGAATGATAGAGAATGAGAGTGTTGTAGAATAACGAATAAATAAAACGCCCAAGATTGAGACGTTAGATTAAACATTGATTAATTCGTGCGCGTACATAATATTATCGTATTTAATTTAAATACATAGGTATACTTAGATATAGACAAACGTACACATTATACAATAGTTGTATCTGAGGTTCGATATTATTGTTGTCGTATTGATGAAGTTTGTCAGCGGTGTTTTAGTGTTAGTACGAGTATACGTATACCAATCGTGCTATGTTATTATGTTATTACCTAGTTTATTCTTTCTAAGCGAGTTCTGTGTTCCACCATCTTGAGGGATTTATATGACATTAATGTTGTGTTATTATTGAACAATAAAAATATCATGTTGATCTATGGTTTATCATATTTTTCCTAGTTATCATTTTACCATTTCAGAACTATTTTTTTGTTCTGTCGTAAATTCGGTACATTTTTTTTAAATTGAAATTTGAAATTCGACTATCTACATCTATTTGGTTGTCAACCTGCAGCTGATATCGATGCACCGACCAGCCGGGTGCATAATATATGTGCTTTTCTGCGGTCAAACGACGCCATGGTCGTACTATTCGGTAGGTATTCTTAAGACGCTTATCTGTAATATTATTGTATACGACTCATACGTCGACGAGTCCTCCAGAGGAAGAATCAAAAAGGTACTGACCGCCGCCGTTGGGTAGTTGAACACGGATATCGTATGATATGATATGATATTATTATTATTATCATACAATTACGACCTCGTTTTGTAATAGTAAAAACAATCATAATAACGTACGAATCCTCGCCAAACATAAGCCGAAAGCCGAAATATAATAAGTAATAACTCTCCAGGCTATATAAGTACAAAATACTGTTACGCCCACAATACAATATATAATATAAGCGCCGTCACACGCGAAAATATTATACATAGTACATATATATATATACGCAAAAAGCCCGCTTGTGCTTCGAGCATGGCGAAGAACAATGCTGTAGCATAACAATAATAGTAATAATATAATGTATGGCGTTCGATATAATATTTGGCACGTCAGAGAGGGGTCGCTGTGCGTAATCTACCCGACAGGGTTATGCAAACAACCCCTCGCAAAAACGGAGGCGGCCACGAGAGCAGAATCTCGGCGAAATAGTATGATAATAATATGAAATTTTGTGTGTATTGTATAGGTAGGTACCCAGATAAACGTATTTTAGGTATATACTATTATCATGTGGTTCAGGTGAGGCGTGATCGGGAGGTGTATTCGCGATTGGTCTCGGCACGAAGATTTCGTGAACACACATTATAGCTACGAAGCGCGGGGGTTGCCATGTGTTTGGGGAGGGGGTAAAAATACGGGATTCTGATATTACGACGTACTGAATATTATGTAATAATAACGATATGCGTGTAAACACGTTGTATACACCGTCATCCATCACCCATAAAATTCACGGTCTTATGATTTCAAGTCGTCGTCGTCGATGCAGACGGACAGGTTGCAGTGTAGGTAATATTATGTTTATGGCGCTTATACAGCCTACTCATATGCCTATATGTATATACGCATGGTGACGGTCCGAGACCTGAACACGTAAATGCGCGTTATTACAATATAATTTTACACGCATAATGGTATCGTCGTTGTTATAATTATTTTTATCGCCACATACAATTACTACGCGGGTATATGACGAATATTTAAACTTCATGTATTATTATTAATATAATATATATAGTTGCTGGTACATATCGTCGGCCTATAGGTAGATAAGTGCATAATAAACGATTATTCACCAATTTCTACTCAAAAACATAATATATAAAAAAACATTGTTTTGCCACGGATATTAAACAAGTATATATTACGTATAGTATTATTAATCAGAATGTAATTTATCAATGTTACTAATGTTCTATCTTCCAACGAAGTGTGGTAAAATCGAATATTAAATCTAAGCTATCCCTAAGCCATTATAATATCCCGCGCGTTCGTCGAAATAATCGGAATTATAATGATAAACGATTTTTTAGTGTATATATATATATACTGCAACGATTATATAAAACATGTATAAATATAAGAATCTCTAATTTTTCACCTCCACCCTCCTATATTATAACGACGAAAAAAAACAAAACTCGGTAGCAGATTATTTCCCATTAAAATAATGTACGCGAAGTGATTGCACTTTGAGCGCTTTCCTCGGAGAAGTCCAACAAAGTGCCGTTGCCGTCGTCTGTTAGGGCTGGTATTCGAAAAAGCGAGTAAAAAACCGTGTACGCACGCTTAAAGAGGGTATTATAGCAGTACAACAGTTAGTAATAGTAATAATAATAATGGGGGAAAAAATGAACGGCATACCCTACCAACGGTATTGCCGTGGAACAGAGGTTCGAGTGGAACGACGACGACGACGAGAAGACGGAAAGCTGGAAATTATTTGAGCTATTAAAAGCGTACTCGAGGATACGGTAATAAATTCATTGTACTTTTGTGAATTTAAGTCGGGGAACGAGCAGCGTCGAGGAGGCGGTGTGTATAACTGCTGCGTCGGGATCGTGACCAATAATAATATTTGATTAGAGAGGGGGGCAATCAGCTCCGAGCTCCAAGTCTTTAAGGAGCAAACATTTAAAATTGTACAAAATAAAAAATAAATATACCGAAATAACTGTAATAATAAGGGTTGTGTGAAAGCGAGTATAAATTGTTGTGAAACCTAATTGTAAAAAAATGTCGGTCGATCTGCTAATGTTTTTTAAAATAAAAATCTTATTAATGCAGTCCGCAACTTGACTGAGTTACTTGAGTTTAAAGCAATTAATTATTTTGTTTATATCATGTAAATTATTTTAAAATTTAAATGAGAAGAACGTCTCAGAATTATATATAGCGAAGTTTAATGGATTTATTGCTGGTAAAAAATGTCACAATATGTATAAGAGTATATATTATTCTAGAACACGACAATTCTGATATCCATTGGAAATAAAATATAAATAATAATTATAGTTGGAAAATGATCAAAATGGTGGTTTGAGAAGACAGGCAAATTGAATCTTTGTATATAATATAATATAGAGTTATGAAATGCCATAAAAATGAAAGAAAATCATTGGAAATTAGATTTGAAAGCAATTATTATTTTAAGTTGACATAATACGAGTATTGTGCTCCGCACGTATATATATATATGTAAGGAGGGAAATGCTTTTCGCGGCATTGACGAACTTAATACAATATATAGGAGGATCAAATCAAAGTGGAAAATGTTTAGTTGAGATCTCGACCAATATCGTACACAATAATATAATAAGTAAATAACAAAAATAACAGTGATGAAGTGTACCTATCTAGTGGTTGTTATTATTGCATGGCTAGACTGTTTTATTATATTATATGTATATATAACGCCCCGCTGTACGCGTTTGCTCTGTTAATGCGATTTCATCATATACTATTATATTACCTTCGATCAATTGATCCAGCATGGCGTAGATGTGAGTTGTTGCCTCGTCCGTCATCACCCATCCTCCGGTAGTGATCTCCAAACGTCCTTCCGCCAGTAACCGCTGGACCACTTTCTTTTTCGTTGGATGAGCGCTGAAAAAATACAATAAAACAATAAAATAACGTACCGATACAGATTTGTCGTTAAAGGGGTAGTTGTTTTGTATGTACATATATTTTTTTTCTCATACAAACTATACGAATTAGTGTAGTCGAAAACTTATCGAAAGCGCACAGGCTCGCGATTTAAAGTTTGAAAAAAGCATTAAACTTTTTTCACAACATCACCTGCTATGAATTTATTATATTTACAAATTAAATGTTTGTCAGTAAAACAGGTTTTTTTTTTAAATATTTAAACACGATCCTGGTGCTTACGGAATTATAAATCGTAATGAGATAAATTGAAACTATTTTTCAAAACCTGTCACGAGTGATACTGTGATACAATTAACGCTCAAAACTTCTGTACCTATGTATTGCACGCTATACACAGTCATCCATATAACTTCCGATTTCGATATTTAAATCAACTTTTTTGATATTGTTTGAAGTATTTAAGACACCATATTTAAGTTTATATTCAATAGGGTTTTTTATGAGGTGTTATAAATATTCCACATTGACACTGTGCGTTTTATAACATTTTTTTGCTTAAATAATACAAAAATCTGTGTAAAAATAAATAGGTATTGGAGTCAGTAAGGATCACCATTATGGACTTCGTTCTGCGCTTTATTTGTAAGACTGTAAGACTATGTATTAAGATAGCTCCAAAACTCTTTTATTATTAGTCACACGATTTTATCAATTTACTTCATCCACCATAGGTGTATGAGACGAATTATTTTAGTGATTATATTTTACGCTTGTTTTGGGCTGGAGATCGTTCTGTTTCAGAATATTATTAATCGCAGAAAACGTGTATATATTAATCGGAAGTACCAATAAAAAAGATTTTCAAACGAAATCTCTTAATACTTTATAAATTGATAAATTATAATAATATACGAAACTCGAGGATTTCGCATCCTTCCTCAATTTCTGCATTTTTATTCTATTAATATTATACAATTATATACAATTTAGTCTATAGCAGTAAATATCCACATTTTTGTTTTTACATATATTAATATCAAAAACGTATTAGCGTTTCAATTTTTGAAATATAATTGTGATTCCTTTAAAATGATAATCACGTACAATTTTAATTTATTCCATTATTCGGCTATATTTAAAAACATATTGTAGTAAAATGAGAATTTACAAAAATATATGAACATGGATTGGCTTGACTCTTTGAAAAAAATTGTACCAGAATATTTATGAAATTTGATTTAATTAATAACTCCGCGTACTTGGTATACCATAAAAATTACAAACTGTATTTTATGTTTAAAAAATATTAAACGACGTGTCAAAATTGATTTAGGAGACAATTAAGCACGTAAAATGGGTTTTACATTCCGAGTTTTTTGTATACTGCAGCAGCATCCTATCAATAATATATTTTATTAGTGTCGAACTTTAATGGATGTTTCCAATTAAATAATTTTCGTGTCAGATTATGGGTACCTATGTTCAGTGCATGTACACTATGTAGTATATACATATAATGTAGATAGAATATAGCGAATATATTTTATGGTCGTGGTGTATTGGTGTGTTGTATATAATTATTATTATGTTACAATACGCGCAAGTACAACTTGTGTTACAATAAAAATTTATAAATGTTACCATTTAGATAAAAGCACGATTTTTTGTTCACGTGTAACTAACGTGCAAGACAGATCTAGCAATAATTTTACAGAAAACTATAGAAAAAAATAACCATAAATTAAGGAAAAAAGGTATTGAAATAATCAAATTTTCGAGTACCTAATATAATGTTTTAAATAATCTTAAAATAATAATTCAAATAAGCTCCGATTTTTGGTACAGTTTTAACCCCGTCTATGTTAAAGTTTACCACCCAGATCAGAATATATATATACTATTGATGAGATAATTTTTACTTCGATCAAAATAATCTGTGCAGAATTATTTCGGCCAATGCATTATCAAAATGTAGGTATGTATAGGCAGGAGAGATAAGTTAGCAAGAAATAAAAGCTAATCCACTATTGTACTCGTGGGAACAATAGTGTATTTATAGGACGACCTCTATACCTATAATGTATATATATATATTATATATACGTCTACTGCTCGGAAAGTAAGTTTCTATTCGGTGTACGGTTATTTTTTTCCCCTCCGAGAAGAGATTTATTCGTGCAAAACGCCCGCAGTAGTTTTTTTGCAATGTTTTTAATTACTATATACACCTAACGTCATGTCTTAAAACGTCCGCTCAAAACGAGAAAACCTTTGAAAACCTCTTCCGAGGCGATTCTGACACTCGCATATTGTATAATATATACCATTACACATATCATTAAATATTTTGACGGTTTATTTCCAAATAATAATAACCGAATGCGAATATAAAGGCGTCATAGGGCATGGCCTTTGAACACTATTATATACTGCGGTCATAGTATAACATACAATAATTTCGTTGTGATATTATATTGTTATTTGTTTCCTGAAAACGCGATCCAAGCCGCAGCAATACACTAGCGATACTTGTATTTTTTTGTACTCTTTTTCAAAATGTAGTGGTTGCTTACGATTTTTCGATACACGCATAGGTTGGTATGCAATAGCTGCTTGTTCAGATGTGCATTTCTGCTGTGGCTGTATTATAAATGGCCGAATTAAAATAATTAATTTAATACCCATTACCTGGTTAAAGTATCTATATGCATAATAAATAATATATGAAATGGCATCGCGTTCGTTATACGTAATAATAATTTGTATAAGCGCTTTGAACATATTTAATATATTCACAGAACATTTCCTGAAATATTTTATTATAATTTATAAACCATCATTTGTGTTAGCTTAACGTTTCTGAAAACGCGAACTTATAACAGTCAATAATAATTTTTAATTGTTGAAAACTACGGAAATCCTACTATCCGCCTGATCACTGAGCACTGTGAAGGTGGGGGAGGCTGAACAAATCGCTGTAGGTAAGCCTATTTTCCCGCTGGTTCTCGTATTTTGAACTGAGCGCATTTGCGACAGCATAGTAAAATTACATAATATAATGCATATAATTCATAATTATTCAATAATATATTATATTTTCACCTCTATTTCGTTATTATCGATAATACCTATGTGATGCACAAAACGTAATAATTGGTCGATGTATCGGGGCGAGCAGCTGCAGCAGGACCACCGCAGTCGACTTACAAACTGACTTAAACATTATAATATCAGAAAGACCTACAGTCGACAGCGAAAAATAAATGTCTGAAAAACTGCTCGTCCTCGATCATTTTTAAGCCCGTTTGTATAGCGGACACTTGTGGTGAGCGGCGAATCAATGCACAGCTGCTCTCGACGACTGCAGAGCGCCATGAAAAATTATACTTTTATTTTCATATTGATAGCCATCGAAACCACCGCCGAGTTAGGTGAAAACGACATTTACAATAATTATTATTTATTGAGGGACCGAAGAACACGCGTCTCGTAGATACCATGTCCACATTATATTAATAATATGTATATTGTTTATGCACCCACGTTTCGGGACCGCACGTTTGAAGCGAATTATTAATATTTAATAATTATTAGGCTAGATAGAGGTATACAATATTGACCACGTAGTCGACTGCACATGTATATATGGTCGAAAATAGGTATAGGTACGTCAAACCGACACCTGCAAACGATAAAGTTGATTATACATATCGTTAGCCGGTACACGGACATCATCAGGGTCCCACAATGTAAAATCACAATTTATACTATTTTATTATTATCGTATACTCGTATCGCGTTTCAAGATTTAAATTCTAATCGAAAATATTTATGTAAGTACTACATAAAATAATAATGCGCGTATTACGCGTGCGTATATATAGGTATAGCTACTCTAATCATTATTTATGCCTCCGTGTATAATATTAATAATATTATAATCGATTCGATTATATACACACGCACACACACACGACACACACACATACAGACACACACACACTCGCACATATCGATTTACGAGACATTTGATGTGCTCGCGATCCGCGTCTCAAAGCTGCATATATGCAGTGGCTTAGAGTCGTGTCAAATGTGATATTTTTTTTAAATCGAAACGTTTTATATATTTACAATATTTACATATATTCATATATTTGTACAACGTACTTACTTGTACCTCTGCGATATATATACATATACACGCTTAAAGCGGCAGCCGGACCGGTACAAACAACGTAATTACAATAATATCAATGCCGATCTACGTGTATTGCGTCGATTCAATAAGACTGGGACTTAGGAGTAATATTAATCACGTTCACCTGACGGATTATTCTTAAATCTGTATTAATAACCGGCTAAACACGACGATAAGAAACTCGCAAGACATAAATACATATAATAATATATTTTGAATATTTTATTATAGGTAGGTATACTCTATAGACGTTATAGACGCGCTTAAAAAAATGCGAATCATTTATTATTATATTAAATAATCGTATCATTGTACGCATACTTAAACGCCAATGGGCAAAACGATCTAAAAAATCGACTTAACGCAATATAATTACATATTTTATGTACCTATATACTATATAGGTATATGTATAATACTGCAGTATTTGAAAGATTCATAAAATATAAAATATGAAATAGGTAGGTACTTGCTATACAATTATGAAATATTTCAGTGAAACTATTCAGGAATAATTAAATTATATTTTAGAAATATAAAGGAAACACTTTATTGTATAAATTGAATTGTTATTGGTGTATATTATACAGTCTTCAGTCTGTTTTTCCTTTATAAAAGGCGGCTAATCTAGAAGAAGAAAAAATGCAAATGTATAGGGACTTATCGTTCACTTTGGCTATTTATATGCATAAATAACCTATAAGTTTATTCGGAAGTCATCTTATAAAATCAATTAGTTGAATGATGTTCAAGCTTGTATCGACATGACGTACATAATAAAAATATTAAAGTAGGT